ACTTGCACATACTTGTTGCACTTTCTAGTAGGGCTGCACAATATATCGTAAATATATTGTTATCGCGATATCAGTATGTGCAATATGCATATCACAAAGAACAGATAAATATTGTAAAGAGTGGTCAACTCAAATGTTTGCTACACATAATGCGTTCTGTCAATCAAACAGAAGCATGATGTTTTTTTAACAAGTCAAATAGAGCTGTTCACCCATTTGGCCAATTGGGTGGGTTCTCATAGGTTAGATGCCTGCCTCCAAGGCAGACGGCACTTCATTTTGATGGTTAGCAAACACCTGAGTTTTGTTTAGCTCGTTCTGCTGATTCTGCTTTTCCCGGGATCCACTGAATTCCTTTTCTGGTTCATTTTCTTTTTTCCTTTTCTCACATCTTTAGCTTTTCTCATTTGTATGATTTTTTGAACCTCATGACTGTCCTTTTCAGCATTTGCTCTTGAGACATTTGATTACACATAAGTAAGTGCTAATTTCAGGTTTATGGAGCGCGGAGCAGAAGGAAGGTGTGAGAGGCTGTGCATTTGCAGGTGAAATGTTCCTATTATGTCTAGAATGGGGGCAGTAACCAAAGGAAATGCATTGTTTAATAATTTGGTTGGGATTGGATCTAAAATGCAAGTTGAAGGTTTAGATTAAGCTAATATTTTTGATAACTCAACTGGATCAAAACAGTTCTCATCTAATGATGAAATGACAATGTTCTAGCTTGTCAAAGTGTCTTTTTTTACAAGAGTAGACCATTAAACGTGCCATTATCGTGAAAGAAGAAACTGTACATCTGACACAGGAAGTCCCTTAGACAGGGACTTAGAGACAGGAGCAGCCATAACCAGGCCGAGACTAAGCTTACTAAGCTTTCGAGCTTTATTACACAGGAAAACAAAAAGAAAACTTCTCTAAACATTAGGTGGAACAACAGAAAACACTTGTGTTGTGATGTGATGTGTTAGAAAGTCTCAATACAAAGAAATTAGATAAATTCAAGTGAAGTTGAAACACCAAACAGCTACATGATTTGCAAGTAATAAATACGCCTTATTGCAATCCGATGGACCATTTCTAGTTGGATGAAGCAGTCAAAGGTTACACCTAAACACTAAATATTCATCTACCTCTTTGTTACGTTTGTCCTTTGTTGATTGTCCAATTTCATTTTCTTTAGTTTTTTGTTAAACACAGAGTGATGGGGGTTTGTTGTTACCTTTACATGTTTTGACGTTCACTTCCACCTTCGTCAGAGCAACTGCCGGATGTTGAAGGCGTCACTCACTTTTATCCGCGGGCAGCAGACGGCGATATCGTCCTCTGCTGCCTGCGGATAAAAGGAAGGGACGCCGTCAACATCTGGCAGTTGCTCTGACGAAGGCGGAAGTGAACGTCAAAACATGTAAAGGTAACAACAAACCCCCATCACTCTGCACAACAAAGAACTAAAGAAATCTTCATGTACCTTTTAGATCTGGGAGGAGTCAAACTGTTTCTTTCTTCCAGTGTGTAGAACTTGACACACATAATGTGTGGATTGGATGAGATGTGATGATGTGTTGTTGCTTGTTTTGCAGGTCCTGTTGGAGCTGCTGCAGGTTGGAGGTGTGGTCCAGTTTAATGAAGAAAAACTTTTTACTTTAGCAGAAAAGGCTGCCTTGTGAGTCACTCGTAATATCCACTTATGTCAATTAACTGAATCTTGAGTTGTCTTCGAAGGTACAATACAAGTGAAACCTAAAAAAATTTAATGTGCTGCAAAATGACTTATCTCAGTGAATATATTTAAATAGTGAAACTAATCTATGAGAAAGTGTCACGTTCGAATCAGCTAATTAATCCAAAACACCTGCAAAGGGTTCCTGAGCTTTTTGAGCTGCGACAGCAAATCTGCAAAACAAGCTAGCTTAAAACATTTTTTTCGAAGAAGAAACAGACGCTGCTACCACCCCAACTGTAGGACAAACTACCAGAGTCCCAAAACTTAAAACACCATTAGTCAAGGACAACAAAAGATAATTGGACCTAGAAAATGGCAAGTGCTGTTTAGCACGCTATTGTTTCCTCTGGCGGTGCAGCTTTTGGTTCTGGCGGACATGGCCCAGGGATGACAGCGGACAGGAGGGGTGAATGTTACGTGATATTTAGGTTTAAAAGCTAGCTTGTTTGGCAGATTTGCTATTTCAGCTTTAGATTGTCTCTCAGTCACCTAAATAAATGAACATTTTTACCATGTTCTGATTTTTGAGTTTCACATGTATATAAGAATTTTACAATGAAATAGTCACAAAACAGTTTAATGTCTCAATCATCAGAAGGATTGTTACATTGAAACGGATTTCCTTCTCAGCCGGCTTGGGGGTTGCCAGTTTTTCTCCTTCCAAAATGGTCAAAGAGGGACATAATCACTGTTTAGTATCTGCGAGCCCGTGAGGTTGCCATATCTACTCCTAGAAGCAAATAGTTGGCTCTAAAGAAATAAGCTACTTTTTCTATTACCAACAACTCAATATTACAGTGAAAGGTATTTATCTTTCCATCAAGTTACTGAATATGACTCATCTTTGCTCATCATCTAGAATCTGGATATGCTGATCCATAACTAGCAACAGCCATGCCAGTAGTGAGAAAGCCACTCACCCAAAATTGACCAGAGGATGTCAGACTTCATTCTTTCAAAAATCATCTTTAAAGACAAAATCATTAGTAAATAACAACTACCGGTACTTAACAATTATTGGTGTTTTATACCAAACACCAATCATCTATGCTGTAAAATCTCATTTTTACAAGTTCAGCAGTTCTTTACGCCAGATGTTGTATTTATATCTATTTTAATGTTTTGATTAATATCATGTACAGCTAGAGGAGCCTTTGCAGCATCTCAGTGGTCTTTCAACAGACACTCCTTCTGTCCCTGTGCAGCTTCTGATTTCATCAACATGTAAATGATAAACTATAAAGATGTTTTTGTAAGATACTTCAGAAGAAAGTAGAGAAAAGTTCAGTTTTATTAGTAAAGTCACAATAAAGCTGAGTTATTTGTGTTTATGATGTTCTGCTCTCTAGCTACCAGATCTGCGAGTTTCTTTATGAAAAGAAACATCTGTATGATGGGATCATCGACTGCTACCTGAAAGACCCCCTCCGAAAGGTATTTGGGTGTGCCTTAGATTTGCATCAGATATACATCTTAAAAGTGTTTAATCTTGTGTGCTTTTGTTAGGCGGAGATCTTTAACTACATCCACAATCTACTGTCGATGCCTGGTTACACTTCTGAGGAGAAGAACCGGGTCAGACACAAAGTTCTGCAGCACATACAGGTCAGTGGAATTCACACCAACTTCCTGATTGGGTTAAGTTTGTTTAAAGATAACTTCAAATTTTTCTCGACACCAGTACTTTAACCATACCTGGTTTTAGGCACCTGCACCTGAACGGCACCTGTACTTTAAGTCTAATTTAAAGTTCTATATTATGCTACTTTAAACCTTTCAGAGCAAAGGTAGGCACAATATATGATAAAATATTAGTATTGAGATGTCAATAGAAGAAGACGAGAGACGAGACGATAGCATCTAAAGCGGAGTTTGCTGCAGCTCTCTTCTGTTCTAAATGACTCGAATGTCTTTTAAAACAACAAGCAGAAGCGCTATAAGTCCCCCCCCCCAACCCCCCACCGACCCACCCCGGATCCTGTCTGTCTGTGAAGCAAACAGAATTAAAGTCTGATTGCTGGTGACAAGCCTTACAGATTTACTCCCAGGTGGAGCATCAGAGCTTCTGCTTTAATGACACGCCTGATACTTAAGACTTTATTGTTATTGTTTCTTGAATGCTTTATAATTCTGACCACACACAGAGGCAAAAGAGAAAGGAAGAGACAAGGGGGAAGGTTCCACAAAAATAAACAATCACTGATGAACAGGGATCTGCTTCTAGACCTGCAGAAAAGGGACACACAACAATACAACAGGAGCAAGCTATCACTGCATCAACCTGATGAGGAAATATAAAATCAACATTGTTTTACTGAACAATCACACGATAATAAATCACAGTGCATTAAGTGCCAACCACAGCCTTAAGACGTGTTGAACGTGCCCAAGTCCATACTTATGAGAGCACCATATGAGCACCTGTGTGTGTACACGCGCTTGTATATGTAAGGTTTCTCTATAGGAGCGTCCAATAGAGAGTGTGAGGAGCCATAGGTCCGCCCCCCAAAGATGTGTAGATGGAGGGAGCTCCAAGTCCCAGAGATCCAGGAGCTGCCCCAGAGCACAGGGACCCCAGGGACACTGTAACCAGAAAAGCCCCTGCCTCCCTCGAGAGGCGCAGAGGATTGCCCCGGGGGGCCACAACCAGCAGCCGGTAGAGTCCCGGGAGATATCAGCAGCAAGCCCACAGGCCCGCCCGCAGCCTTCCACCCCCCTAGCCGGCCGAGCACAGAACCCAGCGACCCGGGACCTAGGGGCCACCCCCCCCAGCCGGGGACCCAGCAGAGCCCAGGGACTCAGAGGCAGCCACCAGGATTAATCAGGCAAACGCCAAAAATCTTAAACCCCCTGACCCGGGAGCCGCGAACACTCAGGCAGACCAAGGCACCACACTCCACACCAGGTGTGGCAGGGGGAGAGGAGGCGAAGATGTATAGCATCAAAAGAAGTCCCAGGAGAGGGGAGGAGTCAAAAGCCCCACCTGACATATACAGTCATACACAAACACAGTCACACACTCCCTCCCTCATGCTCACACATACACATACACATACAACGTAAGACTTACAAAAATGCACGCCAGACACCCACACATGCTCCCCATTCACAACCTATTCACTCTGGTCCTCGTACTGCTGCACAAAGGGTACAACCATCAATGGTTCCCAGAGTTCGCCCCTTTCCGCTGGGGTGCTGATGAGACGGCTCCCCCGCCCAACGCTGAGCAAAGCAACCCACCACCCCAGACCCCAGCCAGATGGCCAGATCCCCCTCCTGGCCTCCAGCCCAGGGAAGCAAAGCGACAACAGGGGTGTGCTAAGACCCCTAGTCTCCCTCCACCTGCTCTGATATAGTGTTAGTGCATGTTGATGAGGTGTATCCCATGGCTGTGGTGAGCAGGCAGTGCAGGCATCGCCTGGCCTACGCTAGCTGATGCCATCACACAACCCCACTTGCACCCACAGCCCTCTTTGTCTAAGTGCAGTTTAAAATTGGAAGTGGGCACTGGCACTCGGGATGAGGCTGAAAAATCCCCCTGCCAAATGCCGTTGGCCAAGGCCCTAAGTGTGTGTTTGCGTGGAATGTCATTGGTGGAAGTGTTTAATGTGCAAATAAAATTGGGGGGTAGGTTGCCACAGGAATGCGGAAATGGGGTCCATACCCGCACCCCCTGACTTGTCCATCCCTCCTAAGGTCCTATGTGCCTGTTTGTGTGACTATGTGAGGGAGCAGGAGGAGAGAAATATGCGGGGATGGGGAGGAATGGCTGGTTGGCCTAAGCCCTCCAGGGAGCCAGCTCCCCCACTATTCCCAATAGGCACCTCTGTTGCCAAAATGCCACCCAGGGCATGGAGACCCCAGCCCATCTTGCCAGAGCCCAAAGCAGCAGCATCGCAGAACCCCACGGAGTCCGAGGGCACCAACCCAGCCCTACCCCAGCAGAATATCTACTCCCATCCCTGCATTTGCACAACTTCCAGAATATATGAGACATAGGACATCCAGGTAAGGTTGGATCCTCCCCCTCCTGGACATCCCCCTCACCGTGATGGGACAGCAGAGGAGCCAAGGCCTACCCGAGGCCCCTGAGCCCGGGCCAGGCACTGTTGCATGTTCCCGCCTTCTTCCCGGCAGCATACATGTCATGACCCGACCCCCAAGGCCCCGCCCAGATCCCCACACGCGGCCGGCCACCCCCACACCCTGAGCCCCCAGGCCCCCACCCAGACCCGCCATGGGGCAATGTAGCCGCCAGGCTGCAACCCATGGCCACCACCAAGACCCCCAAGGGGCCCTACTCACAACCGCCAGTAGTCCACCCCCTGAGGCAACCCAAGCCTTTTTTCTAAAGAAAGACATATGTGGCGTCAAGCGTCACTAGACGCCATTTTTGACAACATCCAAAAAACTACAGAAAGAGGGAGGAGTCTGGCAGGCCAGGCTTGCTTCTCAGCCTCACATGGGTCTGAGAACAGGATTTGATCCTACAGTATATGCTGATTAGCTTAATATTAACTGGATAACTAAAAAAGCTTGTACTCTCATGGCGCGAGCCCGGTTCAAAGTCGGGAATCAACAGCGTCTGCAGCTGGCAGTGTCATCACTGAAATCTGCAGCAAAGCGACAGTCATTTCCAGTCTCTAACACCTGAGTCTCCCTTGCCAGAGCCAGGGTTTGATCTCTGTCCTCTCTCAAGTTACAATGAAGGTAAATTCTGGGTCGAGGACATTGACCGGGAGATACAGTGTCCTGATCCTCTCAGCTGTTGTGTCTCCAGACAAATTTATGCCTTTCAGGAAAATCGCACAGACGTCAGCATATCGTGACTGTGATGTCACTGATAAGTGCCAGAAAGCATCCACAATAACCCCAAGGAGCTTTAGTAACAAGTTTAGTCCCATAAATGACTCTTTCTTAACATCCATTTCAATGTCTCACTATGGGATACGCCTCTTCGCATATTTGTCAGAAGCACTTATCTCAAAACGCCAATCTGATTGGCCAGTGACCGTGACGCTTACGTCACCTGCTACTATGTAGCAAACGTCCCAGCGCGTGTCATTCAACAACCTCTTCTCGCTTCGGTGGTAGTTTATCAGGTAAGTTAGCTCAACCGACTTACTTTCTTCCTGTCCTGACCTTCACCAGGTTTGGGGCACAGCGAGCAGATTCACACTCCAGTGCAGCTGTTCTCTCTTCAGCTAACACCTGTTAGTCCACATGGAAGCCGCTCCTCCCACCAGAGGAGTCCCTACCTAGCTTCCTTTCCTCTCCCAGGGATGGAGTTTTTTCTTCGGCTGCTCACCTGGGCATGCAGTCACTCTGCCGACGTGCTGTGACTAGGCTCAACATCCCCTGGCCCACCTTTGTCACCGAAGCAGTTAGATCCCATTATGAGGGAAATAAACTACCTTAGGCCACAGGGGTGGCAAAACTTCTCCTGCCTGTTTTCCCAAAGCTCTTCAAAGAGGTTAAAGTATTTTGGGTCCAACACCCTTTCAGCTCCAGGTATCCTTCCCAAAGAGCCTCCTCCCTGGACTTAGAGGATGTGGAATTGGCTGGAATGTTGCACATGCTGCCGATGGAGCCGCTGGTAGCAGCCCACCTGCATGCACAGCTCTGAGGAATGTCCTCTAGACCTCCCACTCTCCCTTCAAAGGCGAACCGCTTCCAGTTGGCGCTAAACGAAAGGGCTCAGTTCAAGCTTTCATGACCACGAAGCCGGACCCTGACGTGTGGGAGGAAATCCCCATGCTGACTGACATTTGCCTGCGCGTGCAACACTGTGCGGTCCAGGCTAGGGTTGGGCATCGAGCATCATTAAAACCGGGATTAACTGTCAGTTTTTCCTGGAATTTTTCCAATTTTTTAATTTCAATTCCTAGTATCAATTCCCAGGCCCCCAACCGGAAGAAGAATCTGTGGCCGATCTTCCTGAAAAAAACATGAACAGCAGAAATAAAAATGGTCAGTCAAACACAGCCACCCACCAACACTCGTCAGTGTGAGCGTGACCGTCAGAAGGCTGAGCAATAACCTGTAAATGAATTAAAGTCGTCAGGAGGTGTTAAAATGTGAAGGAGGGGGCAACATAAGAAACGCGACAGTGGAGTTAAAATAGGTTTAATTGTTATAAAAGGTTGTAAAAACAAGTGCAAACAGATGGAGAGCATTATTAAAATAATGCCAAACAAACAAAATCAAGACTAAAAGGTTAACATATAAAGGGTGAATTATCAACATCAAAACACCTGGTTAAAACCTTGTTAAAAGTTTTACCGAAACAGAAGGTGCTTTAAAAACACAAGTTGATAATAAAAACCGACGCCCTACGAAAACACTGTTTTAAAATCCCAAAGTCAGTAAAACTACGAAGTTAACCTTAAAACAGAGTCACCCAAGTCGACATCAAACAAAGATCCATGTGGATCACTCAGAGTTAAAACTCATCAAAACGAAGGGGTTAAAACCAAAACGAGGCCTGGAGGACAGCAGAACCCCTGCACTGCTGTCTCCCAGACTGCTGAAGGCACAGCCTTTTTATCCCAGGTGTGGGGTCATCAACAGGATTCAGCTCAGCTGTGCTCCTCAGCAGCCTGGAA